TGCCTCTGGTTCAGGCCCAACCCTTCCCACCGCTTGCCTCCTACTTCCCCAGGGACCTCGCTCCCTTTGACCCCCTTCTCTCCGATAGCTTCACATCTTCTCTACTGGTTTCTTCTCAACGACGTTTAAACAGGGTTGAGTCCTCAGAAATTCCTCTCCTGGGTATGTGCCCAACGGACACGTCCTAGAATGTTCATAGCATCACTAATTGGAACAGCCCCACTTTGGGAAGTGTCCGCACACCCATTAACAGTGGTTCTCAACCTTCCAGCCCTTTAAATACAGTTCCTCCTGTTGTGACCCAACCATAAAATTATTTTCGTTGCTACTTCATAACTGTAACGTTGCTACCGTTATGAATCATAAGGTAAATATTTGCTATGCAGGATGGTCTTAAGCGACCCCTGTGAAAGGGTCGTTCGACCGCCAATGGGGTCGCGACCCACAGGTTGAGAACCGCTGCATTATCAGTGGCGGGAGTGGTGAATCCCTCTGAATACTCGGCAGCGGTGGGAATGAGGCATCTACAATAGCATGCCACAACACAGACGATCTCATAGACACACCGATGAATGAAAAGGGCCAGATACCAAAGAGCACATGTCTTCTGCTTCCATTTATATAAAGTACAAGGACAGGTAAAACGAGTTTCTGCCATTAGAAGTCAGGTGGTGACAGGAGAAGGCATGAGAGGGCTGCTGGGATGGGGGCGGTGTTCTGTGTCTTAATCCGATGTTGGCTACACGAATGTGCTGTGAAAATGCCTCCAGCTGTTCATCCATGACGCGTGCACTTCTCTGGAGGTGCATTGTATTTCAATAAAAGGCTTTTTTAAAAGCTTGAGTATTGCCCTGGTCGGTTTGGCTCAGTGGATGGAGCGTTGGCCTGCGGACTGGGGGGTCCCGGGTTCGATTCTGGTCAAGGGCAGGTACCTTGGTTGCGGGCGCATCCCCAGTAGGAGGCGTGCAGGAGGCAGCTGATTGATGTTTCTCTCTCATTGATGTTTCTAACTATCCCTCTCCCTTCCTCTCTGTAAAAAATCAATAAAATATATTAAAAAAAAATAAAAGCTTGTGTATTTTCTCCATTTAAGCAACCTCCACAAACATCACCCATTAGTCCCACTTGGCTCTCCAGCCACATCCTTTCTCTCGGCCTCTTCACAGGCAGGTCGAGTTGGTGCCCTGTCTTTGGTGTGCACTGGAATCACCCAGGGAGCTTGTTAAGTCAGGATGCTGGGCTCATTCCCAGAGAGCCTGGCTTTGTCAGCTTGGAGCAGGGACCAGGAGTGTGGTTCCCTAACTCCCAGGTGACGCCGCTGCCACCAGTCCTGGAACCACACGGATCTACAGAAAATCACCTACACCTGCTGTCTCCATTTCCTGCCTCCCCCTTCCTCCCCACAAGCTGCTCTCCATTCCCAAAACCCCAGAGAAACCTTTGGTTTCCAGATTTTCTGATTTTTTTGGACCAATAAAAAAACCAACCAACCAAGTGGAGAGATCAGCATAGATTGTCACCTCTTCTTTTTGCCAAGGGTCGGGTGGAGGAACACAGTTCCACTCCCTCTACTGAGAATGGGTGTGTGGACACTTTCCAATGAGGGACTGTGCCAATTAGTGATGCTATGAACATTCTAGGACATGTCTGTTGGGTACATACCTAGGGGAGGAATTTCTGAGGACTCAACCCTGTTTAAATAAATTGCTCTTATTAAAATGATTTGATCCCACTTCCTGTTAACACAATGTGGGAAGGTTATATAATCTCAGAATGAAGGTCAGGCCTTCCTTCCTAAGAAAAGGTGGCCGGGACTCTAACATGCCTGGGCTACCCCATCTCCTGCCCCATCTTCAGTCTGACCTCTGGGCTCCCACGTTGGCTCCCTTTGTCCAGCAGATATGATGCTTTGGCCCCTGTCCAGCCAGTGTTCCTCTGCTTCAGAGCTATGTCCCAGCCAGCTCTTTGGGACCAAGGCCTCTATGATTGGGTCATGGGGACCTTTCCCTCGGTGGTTGTTCTCACTCCCGAAGCCCAGGGCCTGGACAGCACTGCCCACGCCCCAGGAGATGACTATCAGCTAAGCTTCAATTAGACACCAGGCAGGCTCTGGGGATGAATGGTGGTCAGGCCAAGACATCTTCCAGGCAGATGGGGCCCGTCATCTCAATGCAGTCAGGAATGGCATTGGCTTTAGGACACCTGGGTCTCATCTAGTTTCTGCCACTGACTCACTACGTGACTGCAGGCAAGTCATTTAACCTCTGGGAGTCTTGGCTCCAATTCTGTAAAAACGTGTCTGACAATATCTATCCTCCCAGGGCTATTGGGAGGATTCCACAAGGAAGTACATTTAAAGCTGTTCGGCCACTGTCTGGGACAGAGGGGACCCTCCAAAACACATGAAGCCTTGCTCATGTTCTAATGGGCTTCAGTATCACAATGCTGAAATGATGTGGGTAACCCCCACCCCTGCACCCTCTCTCTCTCTCTCTCTCTCTCTCTCTCTCTCTCTCACACACACACACACACACACACTCACAGGGTAGCTCTAAGTGGGAAGTACAGAACTATAGAATGAACTTCATTCATTTCCCCCATTTTAGCTTTTATTCATTCTCTTTCAGTCCGCAGGCCGGCGCTCTAACCACTGAGCCAAACCGGTTAGGGCGAAATTTCTTTTGAGAGCCAAATTTTTTAAACTTAAACTATATAGGTAGGTACATTTTATTAACTTAATTAGGGTACTCCTAAGGCTTAGGAAGAGCCACACTCAGGGGGGCAAAGAGCCGCATGTGGCTCGCGAGCCGCAGTTTCCTGACCTCTGTCTTATCCTAATGGTCCTCATCACTCATTCGTTCTCTTATCCTACTAGTTTTCAAACTCATCCTACTGCTTCTGTACATTAGAATCACCTAGGAAAATCCCAATACCCAGGCAGATCAATTGAATAATTAAGTCAGACACTTTAGGTTGGCATTTCATTGGTATTTTCTTTTTAAAAAAATATTTTTATTGCTTTCAGAGAGAGGGAGAGGGGAGTAAACTCTTCAACTTCAACAAAACGCCTTTCCTCATGTAGATGCAGCCATATCTGAAGACAACTTATCTCTTCATTTTCTGAAGAAGTGTCCCTTTTCCTATCATTTCAAATCCAGCCATTTCCATTAGTCTCATTCACACCTATATTCCTACTAACTGAATAATCAATCTCTCACCCTGATGCTGTTTCTTTATTCTTTCATTGCCAAATTCTTTTTTAAAAAAATATGTTTTTATTGATTTCAGAGAGGAAGGGAGAGAGAAACATCAACATTGACTGGCTGCCTCCTGCACGCCCCCTATTAGGTGACTGAGGCCACAACTGACCGGAATCGAACCCGGGACCCTTCAGTCCGCAGGCCGACATGCTATCCACTGCGCCAAACCAGCTAGGGCCATTGGCATTTTCTTTAAAGCTGCACAGGTTTATTTTATTTTATTTTATTATTATTTTTTGTTGTTAATCCTCATTCGAGGATATTTTCCCATTGAATTTTAGGGAGAGTGGAAGAGAGAGGGAAAGACAGAAAGAAACATTGATGTGAAAGAAACACGAGCCCCGACCAGGACCCAGGCAGGGAGGAGTCTGCAACCGAGGTACCTACCCTTGACTAGAATCGAACTTAGGACACTTCGGTCTGCAGGCCGACACTCTATCCATTGAGCCAAACCGGCTAGGGCTCCCAGGTGCTTTCAATGTGCAGCCAAGGTTTCGAACTACTGCCTTCTCTAGACTCCTAGTCCAGTGATTTCTGCAGCTGGAATCCCTACCAGTGATTAAAAAATACAACCAGTATGCCGGTCCTTCCCCTTCCCCCAGTCCCCACCAACGGCATCAGCGTCTCCGGAAGTGAGCCTCGGCCATCATGAGAGTTGGTAAAGCTCCCCACGTGATTCTAGGGGGAGCCCCAGGGTTGCGAATGGTGATACCCTCACAGGTGCATTTCTCGGGCGTTCCCTGGCTACCTTTCCTGAGGTGGGAGGGCAGGGAGAAGCTTGGGAACAGCTAATGGTTGGATGTGACCATCCCCACCCCCTCCACAGAACATGCCCTCCAGCAGCCTGGCTGCTCCTTCCAACAGAAGGGCTCCGCAGGCCAGCAGTCTGCTCTTGTCCGGTCCCTTCAGCTGACTTTCCCACTCATCCTCTCCTCGGATCAGACCTGCTGTGTGTGTTGACTTGACAACTGGCCCCCTGGGCCAGGCTGAGATTTGACTCTGATGATAGATTTGGAGACAATGAAGTGTCCTGGGGATCGAATCATTGGTGTTTCCTTGCAAAGTGACTCTCTGTGTGATGTGACCAGAATATTGGTGTGTGTGTTTCAAGTCACTCCCGGTGAATCCAGTTGCAGAAACCACTGAAAAGGGCTCTTGAGCAAGTCAGGAGCAGCCGCGGCAGACAGAGGCGGCAGCATTAGAGTGAGTGCAGGCCGCTTGCTAGGGCACGTGCCCTCGGGGAGGAGAAGTACCCAAACCTTCCGGGGGGTTATTGGGTGCTGGCTTTAAGCTGCTAATTCCCGAGTGCCACTGTGGCCCACCAGTCCACTAGCTAGAAGGGGGACTTTAGGCGCTACAGGGAAATTGGTAAGTCAGATCGAATTCTTAACTTATCCACATGCTCAGATTCCCAAACAACAGTAGGAAATACAGTTAAAAACAATGAAAATCCGTCTGGCTGGCGTGACTCAGGGCATTGACCTATGAACCAGGAGGTCACGGTTTGATTCCCAGTCAGGGCACATGCCCGGGTTGCAGGCTCAATTCCCAGTGTGGGCATATGGGGCGTGCAGGCGGCAACAGCTCAATGATTCCCTCTCATCATTGATGTTTCTATCACTTTCTCCTTCTCCCATCCTCTCTGAAATCAATAGCCAAAATGTATTAAAAAATAATGAAAATCCAACCCATGTTGTTCAGGGGTCAATTGTAGTAATAAGAGGTAAGTCAAACTGCCGCTGCTATCCCAGGTGATTCTTTATTGGGGAAAATCAACACAGCCCCTGGCAAAGGCTTCATTCTCTGTCCCAATAGGCAGAGAATCCAGAAATCATTTGTTTTTACCTGGTAGGGATAGCAGCACACCTTCAAAATCTTGCTTCAGAGTTATGGCAACACAGCATCCGGTGTTCATGTCAGGGGTACACGCTGTGGCATCCGCTCCCAGATGAGGGGGAGACAGCAGTGCCCTCACCAGACATCTCAGCAGCACGATTCTGAGCGCTGGTCCCTGCTGCATACCGCCTGGGCCAGTTCTCAGACAGCATCCACTTTCTGTGCGCAGAGACCGTTCATAAATGTATTTCTTTGTAGTTCAGGCAGAAGTGTGGCTTTGCTTACAGCTGATGACATTGATGGGGGCACAAACTGCTAGGAGTCTCTGGAGGGCAGTGGACACATGCACTTGAGAGGTGGTGGTGCCAGGTAGAAGCAGCACTTTGACCTTGACTCGAAGGCCCCGAGGACCTAGAGTGCCGGAAGCCGGTCCACCCTCGCTGCTTGACACAGTCACTGCAGGGAAGAAACATCTGCACAGCTTATGTTTCAAGGGACCTGGCGTATATGGCATATGTTTGCTCCCCCTCTTAACGCTATGTGTTTTAAACAGGATCACCTCCCCAAGAAAGGTTGTTTCCCCAGGTGAGGATTTTTCCATGGAGTTAGGGAGGGAATAAAACCTCTTAACTAAGTGCCAGGCGGGTAATTAATCACTTTAACTATGAACAATCACGCTTAAGCTACATAATCTTTACTTAGGATAATCTCCTTCAGTTACTTCCTTGTAGCTTAATAGAACAATTGAGTAACCTTGGAATGGAGATAAGAAACGCCCTGACCTTTGGAATAGAATGGATAGGATTCAAATCAACTGGTATAAATACAGACGTAACAAGACAATAAACACAGAAGCTGGCCACAGAACCTGGCTAGAGAACCAACTATGATGATTGTCTGAACACTGCTTCCGTGTCATTCCTTCTTCACCGACTCCGTCCACAACTTTGGGAACCCCTGGACCTGCTGGGGTTTGACCCCAACATCTGGAAAGTGCAACACTAGAGCAGTGATGGCGAACCTATGACACGCATGTCAGAGGTGACACGCGAACTCATTCTTTTGGTTGATTTTTCTTTTGTTAAATGGCATTTAAATATATAAAATAAATATCAAAAATATAAATCTTTGTTTTACTATGGTTGCAAATATCAAAAAAATTCTATATGTGACACGGCAACAGAGTTAAGTAAGGGTTTTTCAAAATGCTGACACATCGAGCTCAAAAGGTTCGCCATCACTGACCTAGAGGGCAAGGAGGCCATATGTGCTCTCCTGACTGCTGGCTCCCAGGTGCAGTGTGTCTCACACCCAGACTTAGAATGGGGAGCTCAACTCCAGTAGGAGGTCGTTGGTCCGTGTCTTGTCTGAATATTCCTAAAGCAGAAGGCCTGAATCTGGACGTAGCTTTGAAGTAGGATGCTGTCCCTTTCCTGGCAGCATCTAGGTCTTTTTTCACTGCTTTTATCTTTTTTTAAAAAATATATTTTATTGATTTTTTTACAGAGAGGAGGGGAGACGGATAGAGAGCCAGAAACATCGATGAGAGAGAAACATCGATCAGCTGCCTCCTGCACACCCCCCACTGGGGATGTGCCCGCAACCAAGGTACATGCCCTTGACCGGAATCGAACCCGGGACCCTTGAGTCCGCAGGCCGATGCTCTATCCGCTGAGCCAAACGGGTCAGGGCTGCTTTTACCTTTTGCCAAAATGTTCCAGTTGCCTTTGGGCCCAGTCCTATCCTGGGCTGAGGGCCTTATTTCACGTAGACACTACTGACTGTAGTGTGTTTACCAGGTTTTCAGCTGTCTACTCTCTATTCTCTTTCCTAATAGCATCGGGATTTTCTACTGGGGAATTATTCCCCTCCCTAACTCCTTCCTGTTGTGTGGAGTTCCAAGATTTGGGGCTGATCAAGGGAAAAAAAGCATGACCACCAGGTGGCAGTAGCACCCAGAGAGCTGTATGTGGGTGGTGCCTGGAGAGGGCTGCCTGGAGGGGAAGTCCCCAGTTGCAGAAGACCTTCCGGGAATGGGAATGGACCTCTTGGGGGAGAAGGGACTGGAGAGGGGATTTCCGTAGGCGTCTAGGTCCCTGGAAGAGGGGAGTCCCTGGTCGGAGGGCTCTGAAGGGCAGCAGTGGCTTGGGGTCTTACAGCCCCGAGGTTTGTTGTATCTATGGCCAGCAGACACTGGATAAAGTTTACAAGGTATGCAAAGCAGGCAGGCACTAAATGGGTAAAAATATGCTTATCAGGGCTATGCTTAAAGCAACTGGATGTATATAAATTTGAGTCTGCCTTCCGTGGTCTTTTGAGCTATCAGGCCCCAGCCTGCTATGAAGAAATAAACACCGCTGGAGCCAGTATACAGGGCTCAGCCATAGCCCATTCATCTGACAGAGGCGGACACTGTCAATACCTGCCTCCCACCACTCTTCCCACTACAGAAGCGGAGGGAGCAAACCCCTCCTCCGCCTACCCTGCTGGTAGAGCAAGGACATGCATGTGGCTCAGCCAGTTAGACAAGTGCCCTCAGGGCTTTTCCTCTGGGTGAGGGACTTGACTATTTGTGTCAGTTTGCATATTACCCTGTTACTATATAGGATAGAGGCCTGGTGCAAGGGTGGGGGCTGGCTGGTTTGCCCTGAAGGGTGTCCTGGATCAGGGTGGGGGTCCCACTTGGGTGCCTGGCCAGCCTGGATGAGGGGATGATGGCTGTTTGCAGCTGGTCACACCCCCTTCAGGGTGGGAGTCCCCAGTGGGGTGCCTGGACAGCTTGGGTGGGGGCTGATGGCTGTTTGCAGGCTGGCCACACTCCCTTCAGGGTGGGGGCTCCTGCTAGGGTGCCTGGCCAGCCTGGGTGAGGGGTTGATGGCTATTTGCAGGCTGGCCAGGGCCCTCAGGCACCCAAGCTCCCAGTGGAGGCTGGCTGGAAGCAGGTATCTGGGATTTATTTGTCTTCTATAATTGAAACTTTGTTGCCATGAGCAGAGGTCACACAGCCGGCTCAGGTTAGGTGGGAAGCTTGGCTTCCTCCTTGGCCTGGGCAACCAAGCCTCCTGCTTGCTCCAGCTCCGTGGCTGCTGGCCGCCATCTTGGTTGGGTTAATTTGCATATACTCGCTCTGATTGGCTGGTGGGCGTGGCTTGGGGAAGGTATGGTCAATTAGCATCTTTGTCTTTTATTACTGTAGATGAGACTCACTGACCAGCCTGGCCCTACAGAGAGACAGTGCCACGCTCTGGCTTCATAATCTGTTAGAGCAGGTTTTGTCCTCCAGTTACTCACTGAACCACAGAGCACAGAAGTGACTGAGTGAAAATTTCCCCAATTCCTCCCAAAGCTTTTGCCTTTTCTCTTCCTTTGTTCCTGGAACTCAGAGACCCAGGCCATGTGGATGGGAGCTACACTAAGGATGGGATGGTAAGGAGCTACTAGTAAGAGGAGTAGCAACCAGCAATGAGCCCTAGGCTGCCTGTTTTTAGATTTCTTGTCACATGAGAAAAATAACCCCTTATTTGTGAAGTGTGAGGCTGAAAAAGTAGGACTCAGAGGGTGCCATCTTAACGCAATTTTTAAAAATAAATAGTTTCATTGATTTCAGAGAGGAAAGGAGAGAGAGATAGAAACATCAATGATGAGAGAGAATCATTGATTGGCTGCCTCCTGCACGCCCACACTGGGGATCGAGCCTGCAATCTGAGCATGTACCCTGATACTGTAACCTCCTAGTTCATAGGTCGATGCTTAATCACTGAGCCACATCGGCTGGGCCATAATAGCACAATTTTATTTCTATCTCCCAATCTCCATTGAAACTTGTCCTGTGGGGATGGTTTGTCGCCACCCTTTGCATTGAACATAGGGCGGGCCCGTGTCTTCTCTGGCTACTCTGTTGGTAAAACGTTTCTGGGTCGCCCTGACTGGTTTGGCTCAGTGGATAGACCGTCGGCCTGTGGACTGAAGGGTCCTGGGTTCGATTCCGGTCAAGGGCATGTACCTTGGTTGCGGGCACATCCCCAGTGGGAGGTGTGCAGGAGGCAGCTGATCGATGTTTCTCTCTCATCGATGTTTCCAACTCTCTATCCCACTCACTTCCTCTGTAAAAAAATCAATAAAATATATTTAAAAAAAAGTTTCTGGGTCACTTCAAATTAGAAAAGTCTCATTCCAGTAACTGCAATTTAAAAAACTCGACAGAGCCCTAGCTGGCTTGGCTCAGTGGATAAAACGTCAGCCTGCAGACTGATGGGTCCCAGGTTCGATTCCGGCCAAGGACACATGCCTGGGTTGCGGGCTCCATCCCCAGTAGGGGGTGTGCAGGAGGCAGCCGATCAATGATTTTCTCTCATCATTGATGTTTCTATCTCTCTCTCCTTCTCCCTCCCTCTCTGAAATCAATAAAGAAATATATTAAAAAATAAAATAAAATAAAAAACTGGACAGAGCCTAGCCATTGTGACTCAGTGGTTGAGCGTTGACCTGTAAACCAGGAGGCCATGGTTCGATTCTAGTCAGGGCACATGCCTGGGTTACAGGCTTGTTTCCCAATAGGGGGTGTGCAGGAGGCAGCCAATCAGTGATTCTCTCTCATCATTGATATTTCTATCCCTCTCTCTCCTTTCCTCTCTGAAATAAACAAAAAATATATTAGAAAAAAAACACCACACTGGACAGAGTGGTCAAATTCATGGAGACAAGGGGCAGAATGCTGGTGCTGGGGGCAGGGCAGGGGTAGTGGGGAGTCATTCTTTAGTAGGTAGAGGCTTCAGTTGGGGATGATAAAAATGTTCTTGAGATGGATGTACAACAACGTAAGTGTACGTGGTGTCACTGAGTTGTGGTTAAAATGGTAAATTGTTATTTATATTTCACCACAATAAAAAATACAAGAAAATGGAAGTTCCTTTACAGTTAAAAACTCCTCCCTAGCACCTTCTTGGTCTGTTTTGGGTTGGCAGCATGCAGTGGGGAAAAGGGTGCAAGTGTGTGTGTGTGTGTGTGTGTGTGAGAGAGAGAGAGAGAGAGAGAGAGAGATAGAGAGAGAGAGAGAGAGAGAGAGAGAACGTGTGTGCATCTGATTAACTCCTTTTCAGTTTCCCCTCCCCTCACTGCTCATACACCCTGAGACTCTCTTCCTCACACACTAGCCTGCTTTTTGTTCCTCTGGAGCTGAAGTGGGGGGAGAGAGGACCAGGGCAAGAAAGCTCTTGTTCTGACCGGTTCTGTGTGAGCTGCCACAGTCTCCCCAGGCTTGGTGTGTGTGTAAAGCTGACTCCTCATCTAGTGGGTTCTTGTAAGTTCTTCCAAAACCCTTTAGGGCCTGGTACCGTTATCAAGGTGAGTCCAGGGATGTGGTGGATCCGCAGCTGGTAGCTCAGGCTTCAGCTTCTTGCTGCTAAGGTCTCATCTCTCCTCCAGGGGGCACTCTTGGACAGGTTTTAATAGGGCTCTATGTAGGTCTTT